CCGCTCCCGGTTCCGTTCCCGGTTCCGCTCCCGGTTCCGATCCCGGTTCCGCTCCTGGTTCCGCTCCCAGTTCTGATCCCGGTCCCACTCCCGGTTCCGCTCCCGGTCCCAATCCCGTTCCCGTTCCCGTCCCCTCCCCCGGCACTCACCGGCCTCATCGTTGGCCTCCAGGGCCACCCCGGGCTCCGTCCGGGCCAGCGCGGAGAACAAATCCGGCTCCTCCTCCTCCTCCTCCTCCTCCTCCTCCTCCTGCCCCGGCGCCGCCGCTCCGGCCGCGCTCTCCGGCCGCTTCCCGCCGTTCTGCCGGATCGGGGCTCCGGCCTCGCCCGGCGGCTCCGCCTCGCCGTCCGGAGCCATGGCCGGGGCTCCGGGGCCGCTCCCGTCCATCCCGCGCCGCGGGAACGCGCCCACGGTGATCCCAGCGCCCGGGAACCGCCGGCAAAACCTGCGGGGAAAACGGGATAAACCGGGATGAACGGGATAAACCGGGATAAACCGGGAATGGAACCGGGATAAACTGGAAATGGAACCAGGATAAACCGGGATAAACCGGGAATGGAACCGGGGTAAATGGGATAAACCGGGATAAACTGGGATAAACTGGGATAAACCGGGAATGGAACCGGGATAAACTGGGATAAACCGGGGTAAACCGGGATAAACCGGGATGAATGGGATAAACCGGGATAAACCGGGAATGGAACCGGGATAAACCGGGATAAACCAGGATAAACTGGGATAAACCGGGATAAACTGGGATGAACCAGGATAAACCGGGGAAAACTGGGATAAACCGGGATAAACCGGGATAAACCAGGGTCAGGGTCCAGTCTTGGAAGTTCTGGAGGGAGAAGGTGGAAAATCCCAAATCCCAAATCCCAACTCCCACCCCCTGCTCTTCCCAGGAACCTCCAGGTCCTGGAATCCGCCTGAAATCCGCTCAGAACGCACCAAATTCCCTTTTTTCCCCCAAAAAATTCCCTTTTATTCCCCCGAAATTCCTTTTTTATCCCTCGAAATTCCCTTTTTCCCTCCAAAATTCCCTTTTTTCCCCAAAAAATTCCTTTTTTTTTCCACACAAAATTCCTTTTTTTCTCCCCAAAATTCCTTTTTTAGCCCTCGAAATTCCCTTTTTTCCCCTCGAAATTCGTTTTTTCCCCTCGAAATCCCATTTTTTTCCCCAGAATTCCCTTTTTCCCCCCCGGAATTCCCGTTTTTCCCCCCTTTGGAGCCGCACGAGGCAGGATCGGAATCCCGGGATCCCCGAGCCGGGAAAATCCTCCCGAAATTCGGCTCCAAACGCGAGGAATTCCCGGGAAAAACCGCGCCCCCCTCCCCCAATCCCGCTCTCCCGAACCTTCCCGAACCTTCCCCTTCCCAACGATCCCAAAAAACCGCTCGGGGATTTTGGGAAAGGGCTGAAAAAAACCCAAAAATCCCATTTTTTGTGCCGTTTTTCCCGGTTTTTTCCCGGTTTCCCCCGTTTTTCCCGATTTTCCCCCCGTTTTCCCCGGTTTTTTCCCGTTTTCCCCCCGTTTTTCCCGGTTTTTCCCGGCTCACCGCGGGCTTCGTTTTCCCTTTTCCCGAATTCCCGGCGCTTCCCAAAAACTCCCGCGGCCCCGCCCCTCATCCCGAAAAAATGCGGGATCGGGGATTGGGAGGATTGAAATGCAAAACGCGCCAATCGCCGCCGCTTCCCGAGGGAAAAACCGGGAAAAACCGGGAAAAAACGGGATTTTCCCGCCGGGAATTCCTCCCGAAAATTCGGGATTCGCGACGCTTTTATTTGGGTTTTTCCCGGCGGGAACGGGATCCGAAAGCCGCCGATATTCCCGGTTTTTCCTCGGTTTATTCCCGGTTTTTCCTCGGTTTATTCCCGATTTTTCCCCGGTTTTTTTCCCGGTTTATTCCCAGGTTTTTTCCCGATTTTCCCCCCAGTTTCTTCCCGGTTTTTTCCCCGATTTTCCCCCGTTTTTTCCCAATTTTTCCCCGTTTTTTCCCGGCGCTTTTCCCGGTCTGGAATTCTCAGCATTCCAATCCCGTTTTTCCTCCTTTTCCCCCCAGAAAAACCCGGATCCCAAACCTCGGGAACGCCGCTGGGATCGGGGATTTCCTGGAATTCTTCCCTGGAATTCTTCTCTTGGTTTTCCCACCCAAAAATTCCCTTTTCCCGGGAAAAAAACGGCTCCGAATTCCCGGCGGGATTTCTCCCGCTTTCTTTCTTTTCCCGGTTTTTCCCTTTCCCGGTTTTTCCCTTTCCCAGTTTTTTTCTCCCCAGGTTTTTTCCCTTTTCCCAGGTTTCTTTTCCTGGTTTTCTTTTCCCGGGTTTGTTTTTCCCGGTTTTTTTTTTCGTTTTTCCCAGTTTTTTTCCTTTTTCCCGGGTTTCTTTTCCCGCTTTTTTTCCCTTTTCCCGGTTTTTCCCTTTTCCCGCTTTTTTTCCCTTTTCCCGGGTTTCTTTTCCCGCTTTTTTTCCCTTTTCCCGCTTTTTTTCCCTTTTCCCGGGTTTCTTTTCCCGCTTTTTTTCCCTTTTCCCGCTTTTTTTCCCTTTTCCCGGGTTTCTTTTCCCGGTTTTTCCCTCTCCCGCCAAAGGGCGGGATCGGGATCGGGGTTGGAATTTTCTGCCGCTCCCGGCCGAGGCTCCCCCGCATTCCAGGAGAAATCCCGGATTTTTCCAGGAGGATCCCGTGGAATTCTCCTCCTCCTGCAGCTCCCGAATTCCCGGGGCTTTGCTTGGAATTTTTTCCCGGTTTTTGTTTTAATTTTTCCCGAGTTTTTTTTCTCCCTTTTCCCTGAATTTTCCGTTTCCTGAGGAATTTTTTCCCTCATTTTTTTAATTTTCCCTGAGTTTTTTCTCCTTTCCCAAAGGAATTTTTTCCTGGGTTTTTTTTTTTTTTCCCTTTTCCCGAGGTTTTCCCGTCCTTTCCCAGCCCGGGAGCTCCCGAAGCCGATCCCAAACAATTCCAGAGCCTCAGGAGCCCCTGGAACCCCAAAAATCCCAAACCCCAAAATCCCAAAACCCCAAAATTCCAAAATCCAAAAACCTCAGAATCCCAAAATTCCAAAATCCAAAAACCCCAGAATCCCAAATCCCAAAATTCCAAAATCCAGAGATTTTTTGGGATCTGGGTCTGGGAATTCGGGGGGGGGGGCCCAAAGCTGATCCCAAAAATGATCCCAAAGCTCCTGGAGGATCCCAAAACCGATCCAAGGGGTCCTGGATGATCCCAAATCTCCTCCAAGGGGTTCCAGAACGATCCCAAAGATGATCCCAAAACCGATCCAAGGGACTGGGACGATCCCAAATCTCCTCCGAGGGGTTCCAGGAGGATCCCAAAGCTCCAGGAGGATCCCAGAGCTGCTCCGAGGGGTTCCAGGAGGATCCCACAGATCCAGGAGGATCCCAAAGCCGATCCAAGGAGTCCTGGGTGATCCCAGATCTCCTGAGTGATCCCAAATCTCCTCCAGGACAAACCCAAAACCGATCCAAGGGACTGGGACGATCCCAAAGCTGCTCCAGAATGATCCCAAAACCGATCCAAGGAGTTCCTGGGTGATCCCAAATCTCCTGAACGATCCCAAAACCGATCCAAGGAGTCCTGGGTGATCCCAGATCTCCTGAACGATCCCAAAACCGATCCAAGGAGTTCCTGGGTGATCCCAAATCTTCTCCGAGGGGTTCCAGGACGATCCCAAAGCTCCAGGACGATCCCAGAGCTGCTCCAGAGGTGTTGGGACGAGTCCAAAGCTGCCCCAGGAGGTCCTGGGTGATCCCAAAGCTCCTCCAGGATGATCCCAAAGCTCCAGGACGATCCCAAAGCCGCTCCAGAGGGTTCCAGGACGATCCCAAAGCTGCTCCAAGGGGTTCCAGGACGATCCCAAAGCTCCAGGACAATCCCAAAGCTGCTCCAGGACGATCCCAAAGCTGATCCAAGGGGTTCCAGGACGATCCCGATGATCCCAAAGCCGCTCCAGGAGGTCCTGGCTGATCCCAAAGCTCCAGGACGATCCCAAAGCTCCAGGACGATCCCAAAGCTCCAGGACGATCCCAAAGCCGCTCCAGAGGTGTTGGGGTGAGTCCAAAGCTCCTCCGGGGGCTCCGAGAGGTTCCCGCGCAGACCCTGCCCAGCCCCCAGCTCGGGGCTGCTCCTGCGCACACCTGGGCACACCTGGGCACACCTGGATCCCTCTCACACACACCTGGACCCCCCTGCACACACCTGTGCACACCTGGGCGCATCTGGATCCCCCCCTAAACCCCTCACACACATCTGGATCCCCCCTGCGCACACCTGGGCACACCTGGATCCCTTCACAGACCCTTCCGGCACACCTGGCTCCCCCCCAAACCCCCCCTGCGCACACCTGGGCACACCTGGATCCCTCTCACACACACCTGGACCCCCCTGCACACACCTGTGCACACCTGGGCGCATCTGGATCCCCCCCTAAACCCCTCACACACATCTGGATCCCCCCTGCGCACACCTGGGCACACCTGGATCCCTTCACAGACCCTTCCGGCACACCTGGACCCCCCTGCGCACACCTGGGCACATCTGGATCCCTCTCACATACACCTGCGCACACCTGCGCACACCTGGGCACATCTGGATCCCTCTCACACACACCTGCGCACACCTGGGCACACCTGGGCACATCTGGGCACATCTGGACCCCTCTCACACACACCTGCGCACACCTGGGCACACCTGGGCACACCTGGGCACACCTGCGCACATCTGGATCCCTCTCACACACACCTGCGCACACCTGGGCCCCCCCAGCCCCCCTCACCCGTCCCCGCTGTCCGGGGCACCGGGAGCCGCCCGGGCCCGTCCCCGTGTCCCGCCCGGTGCCGGTTCCGGTTCCGGTTCCGGTTGGTGGCAGCGCCCCCCCCGCGCTGCCCCGGAACGGCCCCGCCGGGCTCCGGTTCCGCCCGAGCCCGAAGCGCTCCGGTTCCGCCGGGGCCCGCTCCCCCCGGGGCCTGCCCCGCTTCCCTCCCGCTCCCCCCGGGGCACTCACCGGGCCCGGCCCCGCTCCCCCCGGGGCACTCACCGGCCCGGGCCCGTTCCGGGGCCGCGCCCGCGGAGCTGTTCCCGTTCAGCAGCGCCGCCGCCGCCGCCGCCCCGCGCCCGCCTCGGGCCCGCTCCGCCTCCGCCGCCGCGCCGGGCCCATGGCGCCCTGAGGAGCCGGCCCGGGGCTCCCCCCGCCGCTCCCGCCGCCGCTCCCGGTGCCGCTCCCGGTCCCGGTTCCGCTCCCGGTGCCGCTCCCGGTGCCGCTCCCCCGCCCCCCTCCCGCCGGCGGGGCCTGACTACGTCACGCCGCGCGCGACCGAGCCGCCGCCGACATCTTGAGGGGGGGAGCGGCGGAGGCGACGGGGGCGGTGGCGGCGGGGCCGAGGGGCCCGGTGAGGCGGCGGGGCCCGCGGGGGACGCGGGAGCAGCCGCCGCCGCCGCCGCCATGTTGGGGACGCCCCCCCCCGCTCCTTCCCCGGCCCTGCCGGAGCCGCCGCCGCCCTCGGCCCGCGCGCGGCGCGCGGAGATGACGTCGGCGGAGGTGGCCGGGCCGCCATGTTGAGAGTGGCGGGAGGGGCTCGCGCGACGGGCCGACCTTCCAGGGCGGGCGGCGCATGTTTGTGGCGTCATAAGCGCGCGACGGAGGCGCCGCGCCGCCATCTTGAGGTGTGAGGGGAAGGTCGGGGCCGGGGGGGGCGGGAGGGGGAAAGTGTCCCCAAAGTGTCCCCAAAGTGTCCCGAAACTGTCCCCAAAGGGTCCCCAAAGGGTCCCGAAAGCACGCCCCCAGTGTCCCTGTGTCCAAAGTGTCCTCAAAGTGCCCCTGAAGTGTTCCCCAAGGGAGGCCGGAGGGGGGACACTGTCCCCAAAGTGTCCCCAGGCCTGGAACTGTCCCCAAAGTGCCCCTGAAGTGTCCCTGGGGGTGGCACTGTTCCCAAAGTGTCCCCAAAGTGTCCTTAAAGTGTCCCCAAATTGTGCCTGGGCTGAGTCCTCTCCCCAAATGTCCCCAAACCCTCCCGAAATGTCCCCAAAGGCCCCAAAGACGCCTCCAAAGTCCCCCCAAAATGGGGCACGGGGGACACCGAGGCCACCAAAAGCCGCCGGGGCCACCCCAGGGGCCACCAAAGGGACCCCGGGGCCACCAAAACCAGCGGGGGCGCCGGGGCCACGCCCCCTCATTAAGCCACGCCCCCTCATTAAGCCACGCTCCCTCATTAAGCCACGCCCCCCTCACGAGGCCACGCCCCCAAGGGCGCGAATCGCGGCCCCGCCCGTTCAGGCCCCGCCCACTCGGCCCCGCCCCCCCCTCGCGATGGGACTCGCCGGGAGCCTCGGTGAGAGCGGGACCCCCCAAAACCCCCCCAAAACAGCCCCAAAACCCCCAAAATCCAACCCGGGACCCCCCAAAACCCCCCCAAAACCCCCGAAATCCCCCAAAATCCAGCCCGGGACCCCCCCAAAACCCGCCCGGGGTGGGACCCCCCAAAAAAACCCCAGAGAGCCCCAAAATCCGTCCCGGGACCCCCCAAAAAAATCAAAAACTCCCCAAAATCCGTCCCGGGACCCTCCAAAAAACCAAAAACTGCCCCGAAATCCTGCCCGGGACCCCCCCAAAAAATTAAAATCTGCCCCCAAATTCCCCAAAACCGCCCCGGAATCTCCCCAAGAAACCAAAAATTCTCCAAAAACCCCCAAAAATCGCCCCGGGACCCCCCGAAAAACCAAAAATCCACTTAAACATTCCCAAAAGTCCCTAAAAGATCCCAAAATCTCCCCCGGGACCCCGCCCCAAAAACCGCCCGGGTCGGGACCCCCCAAAAAATCCCCAAAATCCGCCCTGGGAATTCGGAGAAATCCCAGAAAAGTCCAAAAATGTCATAAAAAAAATTTATAATGCCCCCAAAATTCCACCAAAACCCCCAAATTCCCCAAAATTCCCCAAAAAACCCCAAAATTCCCCAAAAAACCCCAAAATTCCCCAA